CTTCCCCTACAGTATTGTTTGTACACAATTTTTAATTTATTTTTTTTTAAACACTTAGTCCATATTGTACCAGAGGTGGTTTTGTAACCAGAAGCTCCAGGCAAATACAGGGTTTCCTCAAAATCCACCCAAAAAACATTTTGTACATGAAAAGAACAGATTTATGGTGGGTCAGAGTGGCAGAGAGCATCAGCGAAGTGAGGGCAACCAGACAGTTCCCCTGCCACGCTTTTGGTTTTGGGTTCCTGGATGACACACGCATAACCTAAAGATGAAGTGATGCTTCTGGGACGCAGAACTCAACAGGATGCTGGGAAGAACTGGACAAACCAGCCACGCAAATGTGACGAGTGCCTTGCACACGCTCGTCCAGTTACAAGATGACAAACCAAGAGGCCTCTGTCATGGAGGAAATCAAATGACTGTGGTGGCACTGATGGTTTTTTATTACCCCTCGTGCAGGAATAAGACATGTTAGGAGCTTAAAGTCGTACTGGAAGCAGAACCAAGTCACTTATTCTGTATGAAAAAGCTCCACGAAGCCTGAGAAGATGACAACTTGTTTTAAAAATAGGAAAATGTGAATATAAATAGCTCCTGTTAGCAACTCTGGCCCTCAAAGTCCTAGGACATCACTATTGGTTCATTTCCTGATAAATATTCTCAGAATGATGAACTGGAAGTTTCCAAAATCCATGCAACATGAGAGCACGCTAGAACCAAATACTTAAATATCGTTAATTTCTGTCACCTGCCCTCCTAAACACAGCAGCCCAGAGTGATGCAACTGGTGGCCGAGACTACACTTCATCCCCAAAACAGCTTGAGCGGACTACCCGAAACCTCACTTGCGTGAGGATGAGTGCTCAGGGATCTAACTCCCCTCAGCAGACACTCACTCAGCACTCCCTGTAAACTGCCACGGCAGCTAGAGGAGGAAGTTACCATCACCACGTGAGGTTGGGGAGCAACACAAGCAGAAGTTTTGGGGCTCACAGAAGTGTCTGGGAAGCGGCGTCTGGCTCACAGCACGGCCAAGGCTGGGCCAGGTTGATGTACAACCATCATACTAGAGCCAAAAAAGCAAAAACTCTGTTGGCTTCGCAGACTAGTGAAGTGTTGAGAAGAATGAGAAAAATAAACCCTTTACCATTTGCATTAAAATATTCTCCTGTTTGAACTTTTTTTTTTTTTAAAAAAAAAAAAGCAGAAAAGACAGGTCTTACACAAAAAAAGTACTAGAAGAAACCTGAAAGCCCTAATTCTCAGAAAATAAGGACTCACGCTCACCTTCACTCTAAACACTATACAAAGCCCTACTGGTGAAAGCAAGGTCCACTGGAAACTGCAAATGCTTCTCACTGCTTTGTTTTTTTTCTATTTCCTACTCATTTCAGAGTTAAAATTACTGAAAGTTAATACACATTTTTCTCTTTAGAAAAACTTTCTAATTATTTTATTTAGCCAAATACAAAGCGCAGTGCTCAATGCAACTGATCGGCTTTTTTCTTTTGTTTAAATTTGTAGATGGGGTAAATTACATATACTTGGTGAATTCTAAGCACATACAGATTATTGACCTGAGTTTTGTCCAAAGACACATGACACTTTCGTCTTGATGGGGCAATAAAAAAGGTTGTTCTAACAGCAAATTTACAGATGCTTGCTCAATTGGAATACTGTTCCTCACTTTTATATAGATGTTACATCGCCTCTAGTTCTACAGAGAAGTGGTACAAAAGTATTTCCTTAAAGAACGTAAGCATAAGGATTTCTGTTTTCTCCAATTCCGGTCACGCTTGTAAGATTCCAGAGAGAACAAGAAAGAAGGAAAATATAACTATGTGCTTTGTAAGGTCTGGTTTGGGCTGTGGTTTCTCTCTCTCTTTTTTTTTTTTTAAGATCATTTCAGGTATAATTTCTGTATTTTCCTGAAGTGTTTTACAAGTTAACAGAGAATTGGGTGGTCAGTACACTAAGCAAGCCATAATTCTAACCTGGCTCAGCTGAAAGTAGATCGCCTAGACGATTCTGATGCTACACAATTATCACCTAGCAGTAAATTCCAAACTTCAAAAGCACCAATGCAGCACTTTAAAATTTGTCAATTAGTAAGTCCATTTTAAATAACGGCGTTTTAAAGATTAAAACATCCAACTGAGCCATTTGTTATCCAAAGAACTTAAACTGCTGTTACTGCCATCCCACTTAATTTCAGCTGAGCAGATGAGAGGGCTGACTTAACGACGTCTGCAAAATGCCACTGCGCAGAACTTTCACTCCAAACAGCACTTCACCTACTCATACTGCAAAGCTGAATTTCAAAGGTGATTTCAAAAGTGTTTCCAAACCACAGCTGAAAATTTCAATACGACTGAATGGCTACAGTAACATTATTATGTAAAAATAGGTGGAAAAGTGATTCCATGGCAAATACAAGAAAAACAAATCCTTATTTATTTTGGGTTCACGAACACCAAGAGACAGGAGATACTGTTAAAACAGACTGACTGATGACCGTTGTGGCTCTTTCATTATGTTGGTGGCAATGCAGCCTACTACAGCAAACTCAACGTAGCATTTCTGTTGGTTCACCATACTGAATTAAGCAAAGTTATTTCAGAGAGGTATCTAAAGAGGAAGAAAAGTCAGCTGAAATAAAGGCCCTAATTTGCAAAACTGAACGTTCTCACTTCTCACTAGACGTGCACGCAGTTTGTTTTGGTGAGTTTTTTAGACATTTGTACTTAATACTGTGAAAATGTGTGTCTGAACATATTACTGATCGCCCTATCCGTATCAGCCAACTTTCAGATCACCAAGAACGAGATGCTACGAAACACAGAAAACAAAGAGTATGGGAAAAGCAAACATTACCGAAACATAAGCTTTCCCTTGTGCTTTCCATCTCAAGCCTGACCACATTCAGGAAGATGTTCTAGAAACCCAAAGGCTCTTTAATCCACTTCCCTCTCAACTCTTCAGCTTTGACTGAAACTGTCACCCAGGCTGCCAGGCAGGACAGCCTACCCGCTAGTAAAAAGGAACCGATTCAGCTCTGCTTCACAGCAACATAAACATACACCCAGTATCCATCCAAAACTTTCTACAAAGATACAATGGAAGCCTTAGGCAAAAGATAAGCCTTATTTTTCACACCTCAGTGTTTTCGTACTCAGCCTAGAACATTTTAAAAGTCAAATGATTGGGTTTTTAACGGCATAAACTTCATAATCTGCTTGCTTTGGTCAGTGTTACCTGAGCTGTCCACACTAAAAAGCAAACCACCACACACAACTCACAGACATGTTCCTAAGATCTAAACACAATTCCAGTGTGTTAAAATTGTATTTTCATAGTCAGATATATATACTCTACATGTCATATTATACTACTGCATGTTAACTTACCATAAGATTACTTAAATCCCAGCTCCAAATTTTTACAAAATCCTGGCAGTCTTAATACATTTACATATGGAAAACATACGACTTTAGTTTCCCTATTCTGTCAAAAAATACTTTTCGGGGAAAGAAAATTACAATAATAATGTATGCATCTGTTCAAGTTTGGCATGTATGATTTATTTCTTACATTATTAGGGAGAGTTCAACAACTTGTTCAGTCTAAACAATCCACTAACACAGGGCAGATCATGTATTCACTACTCAAGTCACCTGCCCATCAAGAAAAGATTTTTGGTGGAAGTGTACTGCTCCAAAGAGGGGGAAGAAAAAAAAAAAAGAGTAAACGCAGACAAAACTCATCCCCTAAAGAGGGAACTTAAAGTTCACCTGTCAAATGTAAGAAAACAAGTATGCTTGGTTTATCAATTGATAGTTTAAAGCCTTTTTTAATCACTGAACTAGGAATACGTGGGGTTGGTGTACTGATGTATAACTCCTGGTCCAAATTCAAACAGAATTAGCTGAAAATGCTATTTCAAAACTAAAAATTCCTTTCAAAATGGAAATGCTAATTCATAAACTATGAAATTATTAGTGCCAGACTGTGTTGTTCATCTCTTCTCTGTCAGAATGGTGACCTTCTAAGTCAGTATCAAGCAAAGGTGAAGGTCCAGTGTTCTTCACCGAGTATGTCACATCACGGTACTAAACCAAGCAAATCTTAAATCTTTTGCACTCCAAAATAATCCTGCCTTTTCCTCTCTGGTCTGACACATGCTACCATTTTACAGCTATGTTACAGCCTTGAAGAAAAGTACAAAAAGCAGTGAGCTTTGTCAGCTGATACGTCAACTGGCTTATACTTAAAAGTACGTGATAATATCATAAAGTGATAAATCCTTCCCAATTATCTGCAGAGAGATCCTTATCCTCACCCCACAAAAGATGACATAACCTCACCTACAGCAATGGAAATGCTGGATTACTGAAAATTTCTTCTTTATATCTTAAAAAGATAATGGATCAAAATAATTGAAAGTTCCCACAATAACGGACTCCTCAAGAGAGTATGGAAGAACATGAAGCATTCAGTATGCGAGGCGGCTCGTAAGAAACAAACAGTTTAAAACTCTAAGTACTGATCTCAAAAGCAATGCCAAAGAGTAGCACGTACAGGACAAATAAGAGGTGCAGGTGCCCTCCATGCTACTGTAACACTCCACTGCTGTTAAGTTGTGCAAAAAACACTGGGCGCTTCCAAAGGTCTGATTTAAATAGCACGTTTTTTTACTTGCTTATCTAGTTTTACTGGAATGTTGCCGGGTTTTGTCATTCTACTGCTAAAGCTGTGTCAGAAAAACCTAGATACCTGAATGCGCAATTCTGATTATCCAAAATAAGGAAATTTATCTTGCAATGAATTCTTGTTCAACACTGAAATTTCACTGACCATGCATTCTGAGGTTTCTATTCCAGTAACTGAAAAGCATATGAGCCTCCAAGAGCAGAAGCAAAATACATACATTGTGCCAAATGAAACCTGACTGCTCAGCCCTGCAATTACCTGTGCAACCGCCTCCCCAAACATCAAATAATTATTTATCCTATTTTAAATGGAAAAGGAAACAAGGTCTGGAAGACTTAAAATAAGTCCCCTCCAAAATCTACGTCGGGTCTGACAACACAGGATATCATTACTTACACTATTACCTATAATTAGAAATCTATTGTTCAAGGATTATAGACCAGAAATGAAAGCATGTGGCTACTCACCTACAGTGTACCAACTAGCATCTGTCAACTTGCTGATAACCGCTTCTTGAAAGGATCCATCCGACATTTTGGTTTCAACCATTGCACCAACCTGCAGAAAGGAGCAGCTCAAGGTCATGCATAATCACAAACTCATAGTATGGAGAAAAATATAGGTAGGCATAAATTCTTCCAGCACGCCAGGTTTACGTACTTTTAAAGACTCATCTTAGCTAAATGTTAGTCTGCAAAATTTACTTGCTTAGCTGGTGAGAACAAAGGTCTGTAAGCATGAAGGCTGAACCACAAGTAAACAGTAAGAAACTCAGGTACTCTAATTTCAGCCTGACTTACATCATCACAAGAAATAACAGAAGGCTAATTGGAAATAAATATTGAAATACTCAAAGTAATTATTACTTTATTACTGATATGCATGCAATTACTACTATTTCCTATACTTTAAACACTGTTACACTGTTAGCTAGATTAGACTATCCTTACCAGCCTACAACACCCGTCGGTGTTCTTGCAGTAGCTACAGAGAAAATACAAATACAGAAAAGACTGGCTCCTCTGAAGAGCTTTACTTACATCCACTGTCTTATAACGCAGCCAACTTACAGATCATATAAATACAAATCACCACATTTCTATATAAATCACAACACCTATTTTAAAATGCAGTTAGAGCAATCATCCAACTTCATAGTTAGCTTCATAATTAAATCCTCAAGTAAAGAGAAGTTTCAAAGTTTCACTACTTATAAGAAGATACAAAAATCATCGTGCATGCAGAACTGTTTGTGTGTAAAGTGTACTACATGGAGAAACATAAACAACCTAAAAGCTACAAGAGTTAAGACTAATTACTCAGAACAAATCTGATCTAAAGCAAGGAGCCTCCTGTTGTTTTCAATTCTATAGAATAGGTACCACCTGAACAGAATCAAAATGCAGAATTTTACAAATCAGGCATATGACTAAACAGAAAAAGCATGCAATATACATACTCTTAGAGGTCCTTTCACTTGGTCATCTTGCACTAACTGAGTTGAGTTATCTCCCTTCAGGACCACCTGGAAGATATTTGTAAATTTTTTTATATGTACCTTATTTTTAATAGCATACAAATAGCATAAGAAATTGCATTTGTAGTAATAACAATCATCATCAAAATTTGGAAAAGAAGATCTTTACCAATCAAACGTACTCAAACATTACTGAATGCGAAACACTTGGCATAGATGGTTTTACTGACAGGAAGCCCCAAGCATCACATTTCATATTAAATCTGAAACATCATAATTTAAGAACCGGGCAAATCAAACATCAGCCAACTTCAAGGTAAATAAAATAAGTTTTGATGTGAGTTTGGATATTGATGCAATCCAGGGCATACCTGGAACTGGGCTTCCAGGCCAGAAGATTAAGCAGATTTTTTCTCGCTACTTCAACTGTAGCACCTTATTGACAACACACTGAGCACTAAACTACAACCAAAATAAAAAGCTCTCTTTACTAAATATGTATGAAAAAAATCAATGAATTGACCACAATATCAGTGTTTCTGCTACCCCAAGCAAGACAAAGTTTTTTATGGTAACGATGTGAATCACTACGAGTGTAATGAAAATAGGGATCAGTCACAGCTTAAGTAAACTGTACTTCTCCCGTCAAAATCCTACGCTTGAGAAGGTAACACTGATGAGACAGAGTAAACGTAAGCCTATGCAATTTGAATCCCTGGCTTTGCAGAGACTCACTTTAGAAACATAAAAGACGAATATTTACATATGAACGTTGTTAACTGTTTCACTGCCATTTGTTATGGCACCTATAGACGTTTAATAAAAAAAAAATAAAATCCAAAATTCCTATTTCTTTCCAGCAATCAAAAGTTCCAAGAGCTTCCTTTCCATCTAGAAAGAAGTCTAGTTTTCTGCCTCCCCCGATTATCGCTCAGCTATAGCCTACACCGTAGCTGTATTTATAAATACAACATGAATGGCATGCTAAAACGAAGCTGGCATTAACACACGTTCAGGTTAACAGCATGCTGTATCCAATTTTGATTTAAAATTTTCTATCAGCATTGAGATGAATACAGGTTGTCCTGCTACTCAGGAAAAGACTACAGAGCTTTTTGGACTCTTCACGCTCCTGGCAAGCATGCCGGGGTGTGCCTGCATGCTCTTAATTACAATATCAGGCTTAGTGTGTTAAAACTTCAATTGTTGTAATTGAGATATGGTGGCAGGAATTTCCACCAGAGTCACAGCAGCCTCATGGAGTAATAAAGTGTACGAGTCCAACGAGAAAAAGAAACTCAAACCTATTAACTGTCTAAATACTCTGTTAGACCAACGACATAGATAAAAAAAATTAAAAAATCAAGCATGTCAGACTAGGAAGGGCAGCACGTTGCTTCCTATGGAGCTTCTCATTAACAGATTTCAAAGAACGTCACAAATTTCTGTAAGTACTCATCAGGAACAGGGGAAAAGACTTCACTATCTGATTATTATTTGTCTTCCTATTCATGAAAACCACTCTGACAAAGTGATATGATCTATATATGTAACTGAAGAGGCTGACAGCTCTTTCTACTTGATCTAAGCATTAAAGCACACGAACTTGGATGTGTAGTTATAAAAAGAAGCTTTCATCTCTATTTGTTCGGGCGTTTTGGGTCACTAATGACTTATTTACGTATCCCGGACAGTAGACAAGAAAGTAGGAAGATTTTGAAAAAACAAAGCAGAACCATTTCTGTATTTACTTTGAATTCTTAACTTTTATTTAACTATGTCTTATTCTTGTTCTCCCATAGTAACATTTACATCAGCACTGCAAGAGCAAAACAATTACTTTCTCTTTCAGGTGCTTGAATGTGAATGAACATGATGTATGGGTACTATGCATGTGTAGAAATTCAGCTACAGCCAGAACGTGCTGTTTTAAAAGCAGTAGCAAGATGCAGAAAAGTTAACAAATGTGATCCTGGACATTTCTAAAACCTGGTCTAAGAAACTAATTATTGCCATCTTTGTTGTTCATTTATTCCGGCATTGCCTCTTAAATCTCGTGTTATAAAAAACTGGGAATGTCAATTGGAAGGAAATGGAACTTTTGCTTCCGAAAAAGTTGCTCTTATTCCTTATTACTCATGCAAAGCCATAATGTTCTATTTGTGACATCAAAACTGATTGCCGTAACACTGATGAATTCAAAAAACAAAGGCAGCTGTGATGAGGAAAGAAGTAGCAAGAATAGGTAATTTAAAAGCTCATTCTTGTTCCAGCATCATCCTAAAAAAAATAAAAAGCCACCACCTCCAAAAAGAACAAAACCCAAACATAACAGACCCCAAACTCCACACCGAAATATGAAAAACAACACTACATTGTTCTTTAAAATCTACAGTGAGGTGATGAACATTTCCTAAACTTCAGGACTAGGATCTTCTCTGACAGTCCTTTCAACACAATGCTTTAACAAAATCAGCAACAGCCACAGTTCAGTACCTTGACTTTCACAAGCCTTTTCACCGTCTTAATCTTTGCCTCACAGAAGGCACCGCGGTACTTGGCACTGACATCAGTTCCCACTGTCAGGTAGGCAGGCTCATCTGCTGCCTATTAAGAAACAGAAAATAAGAACAAAGTTTAGTCCTTCTTATTTACTTTTACAGCTACATCACTGTATATTGAAATGTACATCTACATTTTTAAACCTACTGACTTTTAAGCGATAAACAATGTCTGTACTCCGAATTGCCATCAGACTGCTCTTTAAAAAGAAAAACAAAACCCACAAACAAGTTACAGGAAGTTTTGTTTTGCCAGCTATGTTGACCTCCCCTTCCCAATATTATCAGCCCAATAACTGCCAGAAATATCTTTTCGGGTACCGAACTGATATTTGGAACACCTGCTTATAAAAAGGATAATAGAAGTGACCATTAATTCAAGTCATTCCTATACAGCATACAAATGGACAATATTTTAACTGCAAAAAGGCAGTATAAAAGAAAGCTGTCCTTTCTTTCCAGCTATAAGCAATTCAATGGCATAGATTGCTTAAAACATTTGAGACAGTCATCATCCCAGTACTTACAATTATGTCTATAACATGCTACATAAAGGATTTTTTTCTCCTGCTGACTAAAGGAGACCTCTAGAGAAATTTGTTGTAATCTTCAAACAGCTGTTAACTAGTATTTTTCTTTCCTGAAATGTCTTAACTGCTTATGCATTTTAAGAGAGAGAAATATTTCTCATCATGTTTTCCTTTATTACTAAACATCGCACTTTAGTGTGCCCGTAGCAACTGATAAACACGGACAAAATTACCACATTGAAAACGTCTATCAAGACAGGAAATCAAAGCGGAATACAAAATAAGTGCGCTTCCGATTGACTTTTTTATCTTTTATTTAACTCTGAATGTAAAAAAAAATTAAAAAGTTATTCTCCCTTTTGTACATTAAACTGCAGTTGCTAAGCCTTTGTACTACAAAAAAAAAAAAACGGCAACAGCCAAGGCGGGACAAAAGCTGCGGTTTTGCAAACTTGCAATAGCAGCTGCTGATACAGGAAGCGTTTAAAGACAGGAGCCCAGAGGACAACAACTCAAAGACGCTGCCGTGAATTTTCAGAGTGTTACTGCAACACGGCAAGAGCTTTCTAAGCTCACCCACACCTCAGCCGGAGAGAGCAGAAACGGGATTTACCGCACGCACCGAAACACCGGCCGGAGCGATCCTACTGTTGCTCAGCCGATTAAAAAAAATAATAAGAGTTAAAAAAATAAAATGAAATCGCCGGA